ACGCATTATTGCAAAAAATTCACAATTATTAATTTTTCAAATCAATTTTTCAGTACGTATTTGACATCGTACACCAATATAAATGGCACCATCGTGTTCCTGAGCTCAAACTGCATCCAATAGACACCTTTTTTGTTGAAAAATTTTAACTTCAAAATTTGACCTTTTTTGACCTGAAAGTGACCTGACCTAAGCTAAATTTAACTCAAAATGACCTCGAATGACACAGACGACATCAAATTCGAAATCTATGGCCTAAATGGACCCTAAAACATGTGTCACGTGATCGACGCATGATATAATATTTCCGTGACCTGTGATGACCTGACCCTGACCTGAAAATCAAAGTACAAGTTTGGTACCCTCAAGGTATCTAGAGCATCTGTTCACGAGTGTGGAAACAAAAAATGAGCCTGATCTGACTTGTAAGACGGCGGCCAGAGCCCAAAATGTGAACAAGCCAAAATGCTAATAATTTTTACTTTGACCTGACCTGTGACGTCATCGGTGACCTCGAGGTCAATGAAACTAGGTTTCGTTCGACAGTTTTTCCGGGGCTATCAGACGCCGTTTGAATTTTGACGATCGGCCCAGTAGTTTCGGAGTTAGGAGGGGGGGCTATGAATAGCCCCCCCCCCCAGTAGGGCGTGTTATACACAGACCCCGGTGGGGCGCGGGTTAACCCTCGCCCGTATTGGTGTTTTTCCAGCCGCGAACGTATAAGGGGGGGGGGTCCGTTGGACCCCCCCTTGCCGTTTCGCCCCTGATCGAGCTAGAGCTTCGCGGAAAAACGAGCGTGTTGCCCGTGACGAGAGGAAGCCGATGATACCCAATTTTAAGGTCCTAGGTCATTGGTTGACCTTGCAGGTCAGGTCAATGACCCCAAAGGCGGGCAAATCGGGACCTGTTAGAACGTCGTAAAGTGTGGCTGCTATGGGGTTTTCGGGGTGCTGATCACGAATATCATGTTAGTCTTGATCACAGATGATGTCTTCATGTATTTAGGCCAGGTCGGGTCAGGTCAGGTCAGGTCAACCAGTAAGGGTATTCGTAGTAGGTGGCAACCGCCTCTGACAGCTTCGTAACATGTTACGAAGGCACCAAAACTACTTCGTAAATGTTCATATGGTTGCTAAATTCGAATTCAGCTCCAAAAACTGGCCTAGAAACATTTAAAACTCGAAAAAGTGAACCGAGGTCATCAAAGGTCAATGACCTGACCTGACCTTCAGGTGACCTTGAAACCCACCCTAATGCATGGGGGCAACATCATATCACATGTTTGAACGCTTGAAACCACGAAAAGACTGCAAACGCGCGGCTAATGCGAGCCGACATGCGCCGAATCGCGATTCCAGCCAAACATGGTCTCGAAAAGTAGGTCACAGGTCAAAGGTCATTTGGGTCAGGGTCATGAAATTTTCAGGGTAGGTGTGAAATTGATGAACGCGAGGGTACTGAAAGTTTCGTCGCGATCGGCCGCTTTTTACGCGAGTTATTCGCGAAAAACCATGGGGGGGTCCGTTCGACCCCCCCCTATACGGGCGAGGGTTAAGCAGCCCTCCGGGTCGTCAAAGGTCATCTCGGATCGTCCCGGGTCGCCCAAGATCGTCCTGGGTTGTCCCTGGCTGACATTGACCCACGAATCTTCCCGCGTCGTCATATAAGTCGTGCCGTTTTGTATCGAGTCACCCTTGGTCGTGCCGGGTCACCCTGTGTCGTTCAGGATCGCCCTGAGTCGTTCTGGGTTGTCCCTTGTCGCCTTAAGTCGTCCCTTGTCGCTCTAGGTCGTTCCTTGTCACCCTCGAGTCGTTTCTTGTCGCTCTAGATCGTCCCTTGTCGCCCTAGGTCGTCCCTTGTCGCCGTAGGTCGTCGAAGGTCACCCTGGGTCGTCTCGGGTCGTTATGGGTCGTCCCGGGTCGTCGCCGGGCCGCCGCACCAGTGGGCGGAGCTGCTGGCAGAGGCCCATCCGAGGCGGCCGTAGAGCTCACCTCCCCCTGGAACGGGGCCAGAGCCGGCAGCCAGCAGAGTGGAGGGAATATTCCAGAGCCGGCCCGGCCGCTGCCAAACGGCACCTCTCAACGGGGGACATGCGATGGGTCAGGTGAGTATAATTGGCCACAATCCATCCGGCTGTCTCGTTCGTGACAGCGACGCTTTGTAAATTTATCGTCACGTGAAGGAAAATGGCGCGGTTCCGCTACCGTCCCCCTGAAGTTGTGCCACGGTCTTGTTTTGATCGCCGTTCAGGAAGAAAAAAGCTGAGTGTTGAGTGTTGAAGTGATTTTCATTTAAATTATTTAGACTTAAAGTGACCATCCCACCTTAACATTAGTTTTGAGTTGAGATAGCCAAATTGGTGGCCATGGCCTGCAAATACCGGTTTGGGCACTCACAACATCGAAAAATGCTTTAATTCGGAGATATGGAATTTCAAACTTGCAGTTCTCGGATTCTAAGGGGCTAATGCATTGAGATGCCCCCTTAGAATTTGTGACGTCAGCGGTGATCTAACGATTTTAAAACCTTATACTAACATCTTTGTAAAGCAGTGGTGGTATATGCTATTTGCGCGCAACATCTGCCGCGAACGCCGCACTTCCAAAATGAAGTCGCTAGGAACAGCGGAGATCCCAAAAAAGTAAACAAAAGTAAAAGTCTAATATCTTGAAAACCGGTGAATATTTTTCGGTGAAATTTGGTAGATATTCGTTTTTGCTCTTTCTGAATCGAGCGACATCACTTTCATGCCATTTCATTAACTTTTTTGAAGGTGGGAGGGTCCCTTTAATACTGGATTGATAAGAACAATTGTCGCCTGCCATTATTTTTATTTTAATCACTTGAGTCAAGAGTGTTTTTAAGCACTAAGACACTTCATCCTTGACCCCCGTCTGTAGGACCCATTTGGTGTATCGCTTGTTGCATGATCCATTGTCAAACGGTGTGTGTACACCATACGGCTACATAATTCCCACTTCTATCTCACCCTTCTCAACGCTTACACCTAATCGTACCCTATTGGCCTTCTCGTATGCTCGTACTTACTAAGGGTTGCGCGATTGCCTTCAAGGCTTCTTCTGAGCATTGCGGGACAGCCTACCTTCAGGCGCCTATTACTACTGCCATCTAGTGACAGGAACATGCAGCTGCTGCGCTGCGGTACTTTCTGACGACGCTAGCGACCAATGTCGCAGAACAATTAACAAAGTAAGTTATTCAATTAAAATAGCATAGGCGTTTTCGGTCATACGATATCGCAGAGCTTTCCATTCCGTTATTTGATAGTTGACTTTCGAAAGTCCGCTACAAGGCTTAGTTAGAGGCTCTTAATTAAACTGCCGTGGCTCCGGTGACGTTTTTGAGTGTTCTAAATAACCGTTTGAATATGTGGCTAGCTGCCAGTGGTGCAGGAATAGGTGCCACGCCGAGCGAGGACCATAATTGCCAATTACAACACTGAGCAACCGATTTACCCTGTGCTGTTCATCGGATAAAATCAAAATATAAAGCTGAACACCGCAGATAGATGGCAGGGTACGCCATCTAACTGCTAACAACATATGAAGGGTGGTCTGGTCAATGGTCATCTTATTCTTTTTAACTTCGAGCTCCCGGATAGTTTAATTAATTATCGCAGGCTAAACGATGTGCCAATTTCCAGCCTGTAAACGCATATATCTCTGAATTAGTAAAAAGAAATACCTACCTTCTTACCCAGACCCACCCGGTTGAAAGTTGAGCACACAAGGGAGCAGCAGCTCATGCATCTCACTCCTATCCTATGTAAATCCGTCTTCTTTTTAGGTAAATGGACCGAGTCATTTGATAGTTTCGCAGTGGCTAGTTAGCAAATGACATTTGCCGAACCGAAAGTTACCCCAACAACAATAAAATAGGTGGTCGGGCTGCTCGAGGAAAATGATAATAAAGTATATCAATTTCTTCTGCGCGGATGCGGGATGAGACATAGGTATATACGATATTCATGCACACCAAATGTCATCCTGGATCCGACCGAGACCACCATGTCTCCTTCCGGGCTCCATCAACGAACGTTTAAACACATTGATAGGTAAATTCGTAAATTATAAGTCATGATCCATACATTCAGGTACCCGGTAATTGCCGTCATGTACGTACTCATTTGCACCTTTTTCAGTTAGAAATGTACCTATCGCCTGCACAACATAATCGACAAATCACAAAACAGTGCATAAGCGCAATGACATAATTTAAATTAAAGCCCCCTCCAACCGAGGAAAATAAACCATACATACCTATGATAAACGCTACAGCCCCATCCATGGGTGACGGGTGCCCTTTTATAAATGAACTTATATCTAAAGCTAACTCAAATTGTTATGCAAAAGGGATGTCAGTAAGCTAACCAGGGTCAATGACCGTCATCTGAAATCGGGTCAAGGCGGTGCGAAATTTGGGTCAATGACCGTCACAGCTGAGATCGTCTCGAAGTCTTTTTTGCCTGCAATTTCCCGTGCCATTTCCAATGAAATCCCGAATATTGGAAACGTTAAAAATGACAAGGTGCTTCGGCCGGCCTCGGAATGTAGCTGCTCTTACTACTTATGTTATGTGGCTATGATATTGTTATGATAGTGGCTTGTTAGGTATGATAGTGGCTTGTTAGTTATAACAAACATAATATTTTCAGTCAAACGGAAACGTACATTAAAAATTGGGCAAGCCGGTAATAAATGCTGAGAAGGCAGCAGTGGCGGATCCAGGGGGGGGGGCATAATGGGCATTTGCCCCTCCCAAACGGCATAATTTTAACATTACGCCTATGGACGAGGCATGGAAAGAATCAATAAATTGTTATGGCTTGCCCCCCCCCCAAAAAAAAACTCTGAGCTGGATCCGCCTCTGGAAGGCAATGCTATTTTTTCGTCATTAAAGTCTTTTTGGTCCTGGTGGCTAAGCAATAAGCACCTATGTAAAACACCCTCGCCGTTGCCGGCACGTTGCCGGCTTATTTCGACCTTTTATTTTACGATGAAATGAAGAAGGAAACTATAATGAACATCACGCAGAAATTTGCACCTCTAAATTAAGCCACTTTAAATTCTACCAAGTCCTCGCAGACTATCTGTTCATCAAATTGAGCTAATGACGTCATGGTAACCATAGCAACAGTATGTGGACTGCTCGCTAGCACTGCTCACAAAAGATTTCTAGCATTGAGGTCTAGTGCGAGTCTGCTCAAAAACTGATTCAATTGTGGCGATAGGCGTCCGAGTGCCGCATATTCTTGCTTGCGGCTTTCCAATGTTTGATTTTGCCGGATGAAAATGAGTAGTGGGCGGTTACAACATTGAAGCTTATCATTTCAGGTAAGCCCTCTATTCGTTCTTATTATGCATTTACACTATGCTTTAAGTGAAGCCTTGCTTGTTCCCTATTGGCTTGTTCGACTGCCGGGATACACACGAACTGCTGGTCTTGGTCTGTTCTCAACAGCTGATGTTTAATTATTCGGTGTCGGATTGTTACCTAACTAAATACCTATGCATTTTGAGCTGTTTAAATTGAGACAATTTAGTCATAGAAACCATTCCTGCATTGTCAACAGCTCAGCAGAGCTTACAAAAGACTCTGAGTCAATGTTTGACCCCATGGCCCATCTGGCATCCGCAGTCTGCAATCTGCATTTGTCTCGCAAGTTGAAGTTGATTTTAGTTACAGGTCAGTCATGCTATAGGTTAAGTGTCACTTTACTCCCAGGCTTTGAGTGGATTTCATCAGCGTCCAGTTAGCTAAATCCAGCTATGTTTACTTGCATAAAGTCAAACGTTAATTTTCCAGTCTTCACAATCACGCAGATATCTAAGTAGGTACCCTCTACCCATTTGGCATGATGCTGGTAGCTCTATTTACCTACCTTTCACTTGTTTGGTAAAAGAGCAGGTGGCTGTTTATCTGGATCTCATCTTTATCTGTGTGCAAGGTGGTGGTGCAAATCAAGCATTAGTTCTTTCCTGGGCTCTGTTTGATGCCCATTGTTTATCAGCATGGTTCTGATTCTGTTACATTGATACGGCTTGCTAGCACTTCTCACCCGGTTGTGGATGAAAAGCATGGTCCATTTGCTTAAACCCCTGAGAGGCTGATAAATATAAGCCCTTTTGTGTGTGAAATTCATGTTGGCAGTATAATGAGAAAGTAGGTCACTAAGTCCCCCATCATTGTTGGTTGATCAGACATTGTTTGGTCCTGTAGTCTTCTTGAATTTTTTTTTTCAGCACTGATTGATCAGTTGCCTTATGGTCCTGTACCTAGTCTTCTTTAATTGAGTGAGCCTGAATGTATTGCATGATTATGCTCTTCAAGATGGGCAGTATGATTTAGTTAAAGGATGCTATCTTAAATAGTTAGTATGCTTTTTTTTGCTACAGTTTCATCAGTTTTGATGCTTAAAATGATAGAAAAGAAAACAATGAATAATTAGAGGAGGATTTTTCAAAATATTCTTATATAGGAAGATCTTTCGGCATTAGTAGAGCAGACGTCACACGAAGGTTTTCCAACCAAGGAGAGGCGCTGTAGGTTTGTAGGTTGTAGGGTAGGTTTGTAGGTTTGTAGGTTGTAGGTTTGTAGGTTGTAGGTTAGGTTAGGTTAGGTCAGGTTAGGTTAGGTTTGTTTAGGTTTTGCTAGAAAGAAGTACCTCCAGGCATAGCGCCTCTCCTTGGTTGGAAAACCTTTGTGTGACGTCTGCTCTACTAATACCGATCTTTCTTTCCATCTTTGGTGGAGGCTAGATAGTGTTTGCAGTGGAAGCTGATTACATGTTGACCAATCATATTACCTACCTAGCTCTGACCAGCTGTATGCTGATTGGCTGGTGATTGGCCTCTGCCAAAGGTGGCTGCATTCTTGGTATTCATCTGTAAGGGAAACATTTGTGCATAAGGGAATGGTTTTGGAATAATAAATGAAATATCTTTGCCTATTGTTATCAGTGGGCCATAAGAGCTCCTGATTTTTGCTATGCTCAGCTCATGTTTAAAAACTGCTATTTTAGTTCAAAACCCCCATGTTAATAGCTTTATATTTCCTTTGAAGATTGCTGTCGCTTTGCCAGTTTCTCTTTCCAGTTTGTTTGCTTACTTTTATTATTTCTGTTAGATGATTATTGGGCTTTATTAATTTTACACCAGATTGTAGAAGGTAGAGCTTGTATAAGTTGTGCTGCTGATTTCTGGTTATAATTTGTTGCCTCTTGTGGCATTTGTCATTTGTGTTATGCTGGCTAGTGCCTAAGATCAAGTCATGGTAGGCATCTACCTACCCAGTTTTTCAGTCACATCCATCGCAAGCACCTATGATGTTTTCTTGAAAAGCATTTCATGGATGCAAAATTTTCCTTTACCAGCCCATATGGTTTATAAATAGCATGCCGAATTAAAAGCAGCTTCAGGCGAATCCACCGTCTCCTGTTTTTTGCTGAAAATTATCGTTCAACACAGAAATATGACATTTTTTTCTACAAAAGCTGGCTTGACAAGGTCCGAAGAGCATAGTATCGTCTAGCTAACGGGTGTAGGGCATGACATTGAGCTATGTAGTGTTAACTCCAACTCCGGAGTCAGAGTTGGTAAGATTTTGGCTACTCTACTCCGACTTCGGGCAGAACTGTCGACTCCGACTCTGCAGCCCTGCTTAGAAGACCATAAAGTGAACTTTACAGTCTTCCGAAATATAAAGCAAACTTACCCCTGCAGCCAATTTGCTTATTAATAATCTCGCTTGCAAATGGTTTTGATGACATGTGAATGTAGTAGGTACCTACACAGTTAGTACCCACTATCCACCGACATGAGTGTCATTCACAACTAAGTCCTCTGAAAGGTGACGTGCTGAGCACGACTGTTCATCTAGATTCTAGGCAATCTGGACCAATCAATTTCCTGTTTCATGTGTGCATTGTGCAATGGACCACCTACAAACTGTTAGCAACCATGGAACTTTTTTATCTGTCAATTACATAGCACTTTCTGTGTTCTGCTGGTCTCGAAGTTTCTTGTTGAAACGATTATCCATAAAAATGCATGATCCTGTTTAAACCATGATTAAAACAATGCTCTTTTTTAGATCAGTTTTTTTTTTATCTCATCGTGGATGCCTCCGATTCTGTTGTTTTTGACCACCATGATTGTTCTTAAATGTTTTATTGAGTCTTAATTATAACTATCCTCAAATACTTGATGGTTCCATTGAGCTGTAGGGGAGAGTGGGGTAAGATGCCCAGGGTTTTACATTCTCATATATTATTCGAAAATGACGATCGGAAAGCAAAAACTTGGAAATTCAACGGAAGCCGACATCATTTTTCTCCCAAAAAAAAACAAACTTTCGTGCCTGAAATATGATAGCTTTTATGCTATTAAGCATTTTCCTGAAGAAGTGAAAGGGGGCATCTTACCCCACAGGGTGGGTGGGAAAGACGCCCCCTGGCGTTGGGAAAGATGCCCCCCTACACTATAAGTGACATAAATGGGCACGTGAATCGCCTGAACGAATCAGTACTCAGTAGTCCCTTCGAGCCTGCAATAGACACTAAACGTCATCGTAAGGGCCCTCAAAAGTAGCCGTAAGGGGCTTCAGAGGTCATCGTCAGGGCCATCATAGTTCAGCGCGGCCAAACAAGCCTCCGTGGTGGCGTTCGGAGACCGCTGTGGGGCCCTTATAGGTCTTCATGATGCTTGAGGGCCCTCGAGCCCATCGTGGGGACCTCAGATGCCAGCGCGGCCCGTGGAGCCAACGTGGGAGCCCTCAAAGGATGTCGTGAGGGGCCTTGGAGCCAATAATGGGGCCCACAGAGGCCGTCGTGAGGGCTCTCAGAGTCAGATGCAGTGCTGGAAATGAGGCCGCTTTCTGGTCCCGGCGTTTTATTCTCCGGGCGGGTTAATCCCGTCCAGCGTTTAGCCTTTCAGGACCCACTCAGGGTTGCGGTTGTTTTCGCCGCTCGGCGCAGTCGAGATGCAAAGTTAATAGTCACACGAAGCTTATTTAGGGCCAGCCAAACCAGCCTAGTCTGGAGTTACTGTTAAATGTATGCATATAGCTGAAAGAAAAAGGTTTTGTAGAATCGATTAATTTCGAAGTCGTATATTCAGAGGCCCCAAATAAACTTCGTGAACTGTCAACTTTGTATCTCGAATGGACCGAGCGGCAAAAACAACCGCGGCTCTGAGAGGGTCCCGAAAGGCTAAGCGCTAGACGGGGCTAACCCACCCGGAGAATAAAACGCCGGGACCAGAAAGCGGCCTCATTTCCAGCACTGGTCAGATGCCGCCCAAAAAGTCGCTGTGTGGGCCGAGAGACCGGCATGGGGAGCTCCCGACCGTACTGGACTCTTAACAGTCCCAGATCGGCTTTTGTCTCTCATCACAAGTATATAATTAATGATTTGACGGGTTCCTTGAAGGCCAGCCTACGGATTTAGGGGGGCTTCTTTCCCCATCAGGGCAGGGGGCATCTTACCCCAAGGTACCGAATTAACATTAAATCAGTACAATTTGTTAGCCATAAAACTACACCCTGAAACAAACTGTTTGGGACACAGTACACGCATGTTAATGTATCACAACCATAGCAAGGGATATAAAAATTATTTACCTTCTTTGATATTTACAATGTTTTGACACCAAAATATTTTTTGAAAGAAGCAAATAAAAACATGCAATCACCAGCCAGCCGTTGCCCAACTGAGCTTCGCAAATTTTTGTGCAGTTAACAAGGCAGTCTTCCACTTTACGCTAAGAACATTAATTTCCAGGTTCGATTCTTTGTTTCGCCGCTAGAGGGGGTGGGGCGTCTTTCCCACCCTGGGCATCTTACCCCACTCTCCCCTATGTGAAGAGTACGGTTATCTTTGATTGTCAGTGCTGAATTTTTCGATGAAAATATTATTCATGGCAGGGCACCCAGGCTTAAGTAGTAAACTAATCCTGTTAAGGCCTATACAGTCGCACCAGCACCGTTGTTTTGACGAGTGTAGCTCATAAAGGTCTCAAGTTCCTGTACTTATCTCTAACGATAACTACCGTTTAGATACAGATGATGTCGTAGGTACCCCAGGACCGTGTAGGTCTCTGCCTGTCACAGGACAGGCGACAGACCGGGCCCACTTTTGACGAGTCTGTCTGTGTTTTGCCGTGAGATGCTGCTGGACGGCATCATTAGCGCGTCTGTGGGCCGCGGGCTGGGCTGTTTGTTTATTACTACGTACGCTGTGGTTTCACGGCCGTTGGCCGATGACGCGCGCGCCCCGCGGAATGACGTCACACTGCTGCTGGTGGTGATGACGCGCGCACGGCGCCTCGGCGGCTAT